ATCCATGACAAAGACACACTTTAATGTTGTATTGTGCACCAAATCATGAAACTGGTATTTTATATTCAGCAGGTGGAGTATATAGACTCAGGCCCAGCTGTATCATATATTGGCTCATCAGTTGATCTATTATAAATAACAATAATAATAATAATAATAATAATAATAATAATAATTGTATTTTATATAACTGACTGTGCTTCTTGTACTGTAGCATACATGTATGTTGGACTATCCTTCATTGATAGATCATCAGCAGTACTGTATGTGTGTGTGTGTATAATATAAACACAATCTGATAATCAGTAGTTTAACTAACTTTGTAGTATAAGCTGGACTGAATTCCATTTCAATCTCCTTATCTGGTTTTCTATGGAATTGTAAACTACTACAAATTTTAACATTAATTATAGCAAAAACATGTACCTCTTTTGCTTGATATTAGTTCTTTTATTATATACAACCAGTACCAGTATAATAATTATAGATACAGCTAATAGTGATGCTAATACTGTCACACTGACTATCCATCCAGTAATACTTCCTCCATTATTCACTAATACAGTAGTTGACACAGTAGCCAATGGAGTAGCCAATGGAGTAGTCAATGTAGTAGTCAATGGGGCAGTTGATGGAGCAGTCAATGGAGGAGTCAATGGAGTAGTCAATGGAGCAGTCAATGGAGCAGTCAATGGAGTAGTCAATGGAGCAGTCAATGGAGCAGTCAATGGAGTAGTCAATGTAGTAGTCAATGTAGTAGTCAATGTAGTAGTCAATGGAGTAGTCAATGGAGCAGTCAATGGAGCAGTCAATGGAGTAGTCAATGGAGCAGTCAATGGAGCAGTCAATGGAGCAGTCAATGTAGTAGTCAATGGAGTAGTCAATGGAGCAGTCAATGGAGCAGTCAATGGAGCAGTCAATGGAGTAGTCAATGGAGCAGTCAATGGAGCAGTCAATGGAGTAGTCAATGTAGTAGTCAATGCAGTAGTCAATGGAGCAGTCAATGGAGTAATCAATGGAGTAGTCAATGCAGTGGTCAATGGAGTAGTCCATGGAGTAGTCAATGGAGCAGTCAATGGAGCAGTCAATGGAGCAGTCAATGTAGTAGTCAATGGAGCAGTCAATGGAGTAGTCAATGGAGTAGTCAATGGAGCAGTCAATGGAGTAGTCAATGGAGTAATCAATGCAGTAGTCAATGGAGTAGTCAATGGAGTAGTCAATGGAGTAGTCCATGGAGTAGTCAATGCAGTAGTCAATGGAGTAGTCCATGGAGTAGTCAATGCAGTAGTTAATGCAGTGGTCATGGTACTAGTTTCAGTAGAATAAGAAACTATAAACACAAACATGCATCATGTTTGACAGAATCATTTTACTTTTTGATGATACTAAAACAGTGGCCAATGTGAGATCAGTAACAATTATTGATTCTGTAAAGATTTCTTAAAGTGATAAGTATTATATTTTGTTTTAAATTTTACTTGATTCATCAGGAGTTAATTGTATTTCTTGTCTAGCTGGTCCATTCATATTATAATTATAAGGTATTATACTCACAGTATAGTTAGTATATGGTATTAACCCTGTGAGATTATACATTCTGTTGTCTCCACCAGTGATATTAACAGTACAACTAGTGTTTGAAGTGATGTTAGTGTATGTGAGGTAGTATCCAGTGATTGGTCCATTCCTTCCATTGCAAGGTACTTCATCCCATGAGACAGTCATTGACACTGACTCTACTGATGAGAATATAATATCACCCACTGGTGCAGTAGGGGCTACAGAAAGAAATGACAAGATACAATGATAATAATAATTATTTTACTAGTAAAAAGTGTTGTTGCTGAATAATTAGTAGTCAAATAAGCTATCTCAGCTCCATATACTCCAATAAGATCAAAGCCACATTGACTGTAAGGAGGTATGCCAGTTGAAGTATGTGGTGATGAAACTGATGTTTCACTATTACTAGTGACTGATGATTCACATACTCTCCTACATCTCCTATTAATATTATAACTAATTGGTACTACAGCAGTTGGTGGACTCCATGTTATTGCAATGGCTGAAGCTGTAACTAGAGTAGCTATAAAATTGTTAACTACTGGATCACCTAAAATACAATAAATGACATTTTTATTTCTATTATAACTTACTAAAAGTTTCCATAACTGAAGCATTACCACTAGGTAGAGAAGCTGATCCATAAGATACTACATAGAAAGTGTATGTAATCCCTCGAATCAATCCTGATGTTATATTGATTGTTGTTGAAGCAGTAGTGTCTAAACTAATAGGAGTATTACTAAACAGTTGATAGTAGACCTCATAACCAGTAGCTCCTGATACAGTAGACCAGGAGAGTTTTACATGAGCTAAATCAGTACTTAATCTTGTAGCATTTAAACCAGTTGGAGTATCAGATACTGAAAATATATAAATAATAATTATTATTGATAATAATCACCAACCTGATACATTCAATGATGAAGTACTATTGACTGCAGTAACACCACTAATGGTACCACTAGTGACTCTGTCATTAGATACAGTACACTGATAGTTACCAGCTTCTCTCAGTCTCACTGTTACTCTCACTCTTGTAACAGATCCTGATCCATTCACTATCACACGAGACAGTTCAGTAGATATTCCATTCCCATTCACTGAACAACTGACAGTAGTAGGAGGACCATCAGAGACATTGAAACTCAGACTGAAGACTGGAGGAGTAGCTAATCTACTAGTGGAAAGGAGAGAGAAATGCATAGTAGGATCAGCATCAGGACCATCTGTAAAAGAGGCACATTAATTATAGTCTATATTCATCACATACTATTGTTATTGTATCCAGTATCAGTATATGCTCCAACCCCTAGTGTTTGATTCACTCCATTCTCATCAGGAATGATACAC